TTCAGTTGCTGAATGGCTATGTTGTGTGGTCCGTCCTTCCGAAAATGAAGTAGTATTATCAATACTCAGAAATATCGAAATTTTGTTTCTGAAAGTCCAAGGCACTGAAGTTGATTGACATTTCTACTGTTGTCTTATCTAAAACATAGTATGTGAGCACAGCTGAAGACACTCAATATTGCAAAGGCTCTGAGAAGAATTCGGCAAGATTTCAGCTTTTAAAACTAGACATACCCCTACTCAAATGGTTGTAGCACAGTTGCAACACCGGCATGTACCCAACAGTGTGAAATAACCCAAATAACCTGACCACAAGCAGCAGGACAAATCTGACCTGGATCACTGTCCCATCAGTCTGCCCACCATGATTACAGCAGTTTGATAGTGCTGTTAAAGTGTTGCTGCTGTTGGTGGCACGGTGACTCAGTGGTTAGCACTCCTGCCTCTCAACACCAGAGACCTGGGTTCCATTCCTCCCTCAGGTGACTGTCTGTGTGGAGTTTGCACATTCTCCCTGTGTCTGCGTGGGTTTCCTCCGGATGCTCCGGTTTCCTCCCACAGTCCAAAGGTGTGCAGGATAGGTGGATTGGCCATGCTAAAATGCCCGTAGTGTTCAGGGATGTGCTTTGAGGGGCGGTGTGGACTTGTTGGGCTGAAGGGCCTGTTTCCACACTGTAGGGATTCTATGATTATTGAGCAGGTTATTGCTATTAATCAATGATGCTGAGTTGGCATTCTGCCAGAGTCACTTAGCTCCTGTCCAAAGATGAATTAAAGAACTGAACTCCACAGCTGAGTTGAGTGACATAAGGCAACATTAACATAGTATCAACTCCATTGGAATCAGTGAGAACTCTTTCATTGGTGGGAGTCATACTCGTGTCCTTAAAAACACATGCTGTAGAAATTCAGATGTGGCAGCATCTGTTGAGAGAAAATAGTTTCAAGTTCTGTGACCCTTCTTCAGAACCAGTAGTTTGCTTCAGATCTCCAGTATCCACTTTCTTTGTTTTATTTACATGTTTGTGCTTGTTGGAAGCTTATCCTCTCAGCACAAGGACATCTCCTGCAGTAGTTCCTCAGGTACTATCCTAGACCCAATCATCTTCAACTGCTTTGTCAATGATCTTCCCTCCATCCATAAGGTCAGAAGTTGGGATGTTCATTCAAGATTGGACAATATTCACTGTTTGCAGTATGCCAAATATAGAAGCAATCCATGTGCATCTGTAGCAAATCGTAAGCAACATTTTAGCTTTTGCTGCACATCAGCTTGAATGTTATTTGCCATGTTGATTTCCACCACCACTTTCTCAGACAATTAAGGATGAGCAATGTTGGCCTAGTCAGTGGGCCTATATTCTGTGAAAAGAATGTAAACAAAGAAACTAGGATACCTTCCTGTGTGCCTCTGTGCTACAATTGATGATGTTTTTACCGATTAGCAGTACAATGTTACCTGGATGAACGTTTGTTCACAAAACACAAATCTAGTATTAGCGAGAGGCAACATGGTTTTGTGAAGGGGAGGTCGTGTCTCACTAACTTGGTTGAGTTTTTTGAGGAAGTGACGAAGATGATCGATGAGGGTAGGGCAGTGGATGTTGTCTACATGGACTTCAGTAAGGCCTTTGACAAGGTCCCTCATGGCAGGCTGATACAGAAGGTAAAGTCACACGGGATCAGCAGTGAGCTTGCAAGATGGATAAAAAAACTGGCTCGGTCATAGAAGACAGAGGGTTTCTGAATAGGGAGCTGTGACTAGTGACGTTCCTCAGGGATCAGTGTTTGGACCTTTGCTATTTGTAATATATATAAATGATTTGGAGCAAAATGTAACTGCTATGATTAGTAAGTTTGCTGATGACACAAAGATTGGTGGAATTGTGTATAGCAACAAGAGCCGTCAAAGGATACAGCTCGATTATAGATTGGTTTATGTCTTGGGCAGAGAGATGGCAGATGGAGTTTAATCTGGAAGAATGTGATGTAATGCATTTTGGAAGGTCTAATCCAGATGGAAAATATACAGTAAATGGCGGAACCCTTAAGAGTACTGATAGGCAGAGGGATCTGGGTGTACAGGTACACAGGTCAGTGAAAGTGGCAACGCAGGTGGAGAGGGTCGTCATCATGGCATACGGCATGCTTGCCTTCATCGGCCGGGGCATTGAGTTTAAAAATTGGCAAGTAATGTTGCAGCTTTATAGAACCTTAGTTAGACCGCATTTGGAATATTCTGTTCAATTCTGGTGACCGCACTACCAGAAGGATGTGTTGGCTTTGGAGATGGTACAGAAAAGATTTACCAGGATGTTGCCTGGCATGGAGGGCATCAGCTATGAGGAGAAGTTGGAGAAACTTGGGTCATTCTCAGTGGAATGACAGCGGTTGAGGGAGCGACCTTATCGTGGCCTACAAGATTATGAAGGGCGTGGACAGACAGAAGCTTCTCCCCAGGGTGGAAGAGTCAGTTACTAGGGGCCATAGGTTTAAGGTGCGAGAGGCAAGGTTTAAAGGTGATGCATGAGTGAAGTTTTTTGCACAGCGGATGGTGTGTGCCTGGAACTTGCTGCCGGGGAGGTACTGGAAGCAGATACTATAGTGACTTTTAAAGGGCGTCTTGACAAATACATGAATAGGATGGGAACAGAGGGATACGGTCCCCAGAAGGGTAGGGGGTTTTAGTTGTGACAGGCAGCATGTCAGTGCAGGCCGAAGGACCTGTTCCTGTACTGTAATTTTCTTTGTTCTTTGTTCTTCTAGTTTGGAATCTAATTTACCAAGGAGGTGATAGCCTAGTGATATTATCGCTGGATCATTCTGGGAACCTGGGTTTGAATACCACCACAGCCAATAACAGAATTTGAAATCTATAAAAATCTGGATTTAAGAGTCTAAGGATCATGAAACTATTGTCAATCATCAGAAAAACCCATCTGGAAACTGCCATCCTTACTGATCTTGCCAACATGTGTCTCCAGACTTTCAAGCATTGTGGTTGAATTTTAACTTCCTTTCTGGGCAATTAGGGATGGTCAATAAGACACCTTTTATCCCATGCATGAATTTAAAAAAATATCATTTTTATCGACTGCTGCATCTTGATGCATCTTGTTTACTTGCATGGTGTTCTGGCTCCTTTGGCTTTAATGGTTAAGTATGTGCTGCACGTGTTTGTGTGAAATCTCGTCACAATCTTCAAGCATGCAACGTTGCTACTTGCTGGACCTGATGGTTTAGATATCACCTCTCTACCTTTCCGGTGTCATAAACCTTTACACTTTTTTTCCAGATGTAGTGGGCTCTGGTTTTACTTCTTGTCTACAGATTAATTGAAGCGTAGGTGTTCAGCATGTGTGGCTTTTCTGATCATTTTGATCAGCAGTAGAATCTGATCATTTTGGCCCATGATAATTGTGCCTTTAGACATGATCTGTGTGAATCTAAGGCAATACATTTTTCAGATTATCAACGTTAGAATGTGAACTGTTGAATGACTGTGAGATGACTTGAGTATTTGTGGGTGAAAACACCATTAGATATGGTCTGATTACTGATCTTAAGGAACAGCACAAAGAGCTTTCTGTTGATGAATGAAAGCAAAGTCATATTAGTTCAGAATGTGCTTTGGACTTTGTAGATTTACCAAGTCTGTTTATTGAGAATTGTCCTATGAGTCCTGGGGAATTAATTTTAATCTTTTGGAAACTACTGTAAGTCACCCAGAAGAGCAGGGCTTTAAAAGTTGCTTGTTTCATTTTATTCAAACATTTTTAGCTTATGAAAATATTGGAGCTGGTACATTGCATTAGTAGGTGGATCAATTTGACAAACCAAGGTGGTTGGAAGGGGTTCATGTTACGAAAAATGCACCCGTTAATGTGAGAGTTGACAGCCCCAGCATTAGTATCTAACAAGGTGAGAAATTCAGCTGTTGCATGCTCCGTGATTAAATCAATGACTAAGTTTGCCAAAGTGATTGTTTAGATAAGGAACTGGTGGATTCCCTGGTTAGTTGATTGTGCAACAACACATCAGTATGTGTTCCTCTTTGGGAGTGGTGAAAACTTGGTAGATTGCACAGTAAACTTAAATTTAATTTGTGGTTGGTTGGCTCGTCGAGCTGGTTCGTTGGTCCGCAGATGTTTCGTTACCCTGCTGGGTAATATCATCAGTGCAGCCCCCGATGAATCGCCGTTGTGTTTTCCTGCCTGGTTTTTAAACTCTGGAGCTTACCTCACTTCCAGTTTTCCTTCGTAGTGGAGTGTATACGGGGTCGAGTTCTATGTGTTTGTTGATGGCTTTCTTCGTGGAGTACCAGGCTTCTAGGAATTCCCGTGCCTGTCTCTGCTTTGCTTGTCCCAGTCAAATTTGATTCTCACAAACCCACATCAACCCACATCAACCCTATGACAACTGCTCACCCAAACCAAAGACCCACTTCCCATTATGGACAGGACCAATGTCATCTATAAGATTCCCTGCAGAGACTGTGACAAACACTATATCTGACAAACAGGAAGGAAATTAACAACAAGGGTACATGAACACCAGTTGGCTACAAAAAGACGCGACCAATACTCACTCATCTCTATCCACGCCAAATTCAATTCCCACCATGTAAGTTTTGAACACTTAATTTGGCTTGCAAAAATCAAGGAAGCCAGATTGTTAGCTGGTTCACTAATTTACTTCCGGGAAGTCCAATCTAGCTGTGTGGAAATCCATATAATACCAATATAGTTCACCGTTCACTGGCTTCTGCAGTGGCCTGGAAAGCAACTTTGCATCATAAAATTTATGTAGGCCCATTGCAGCTGTCCTGCTGGCCCAGAAAATCACTTGTAAAATTCAAATTTTGTACTTAATTTCAAAAAAATGATTTGGTTTGAAATATTCTTAGTTTTTTGGTTTTATATCCCTTTTTACTCATCTGAACAAGGACTATTGAAAGAATGTAAAATAACCACTTTTTTTTTCCTTTCATGTATATCTAGGACACGGGTGTCGGTAAATCCAGCATTGTTTGGAGGTTTGTGGAAGATAGTTTTGACCCAAACATCAATCCCACAATCGGGTGAGTAGAACAAGGATTTTATGTAAGATGTACTTTTGAGAATGTGTACTGTTCTACCTGTGAGTGTTGTTTAATTTATGTTTTGTGGTCTGTATTCAGGGCTTCTTTTATGACAAAAACAGTACAATATCAAAGCGAGTTGCACAAGTTTCTGATCTGGGACACAGCTGGTCAGGAGAGGGTAAGTGAATAAAATGCAGCTTGACTTCAGGAAAGGTGTGTGTGTGTGAGTGAGATGTTTTGAGGGAATTAATTGTGAATATTTTCCTTGACTTTGCCTCAATGGTCCCAAGTTTTGATTCCAATGAATGAGCATTCATTTACCCCTCAATTGCCTATGTAATTTACAACAGGGTCAGAGATTTTTTAAAAAGTGTTTTTACTATACATCTTATTTTTAATTTTGCTGCATTTCAAAAGTACTTAATTAGCTGTAAAAAGCTGAGATGATATGAGTTGATGAAAAATAGGGTATGGCTGCCAATGTGGCTGTCTTTTATTTTAAACTCCAGAAAACATGAAATAGTAAACATGCAAATGAAGCGTAAGCATTTAATGCTCACTACCCCCACGCTCTTGATACTTGGCCATGCCCAACAAATTGTAGTCTAGCCAGCAATACCCATGTCCTGTGAAAGAATTTTTTAAAAATCCAGTACTGGATGTCAGACAAATCGAGGGAAAGTGAGGGGACAAGATGGTGAAATGGATCTGGGCGTCTGCATATATGTAGAAAAAACAGCTATAATGTCTGATGATATCACTGAAGGACTGCAATAGATGGAAAATAGATGACCAAGTTGAGATCTTTTGGGTACACCAGAGGTAACAGTGCATAAGAAAAAGCTCCTGTAATTGTAATTACTAATTACAAGAACTGATTTTTGTAACTGTGATTCTGTTTAGTTGAGAACTGTCTCGTGAAAACCGAAGTTTCCGAAGGCTAGGTGGATTGGCCATGCTAAATTGCCCATAGTGTTCAGGGTGTGGGGTTATAGGGGGGTGGGTCCAGGTGGGATGCTCCAAGGGTCGGTGTGGACTTGTTGGGCCGAAGGGCGTGTTTCCACACTGTAGGGATTCTATGATTCTCTGTTTGTTTACTGACTGCAATGCAAGGTGTATGGGCAGAGGTAGTAACAAGAGCAAATTGATTTCGGTTGACTTGACATTGGTTGCCTTGTTGGTTCATTGATGTAAGCAAGTGAGGGAGGCTACAAGGTAGGTGATGGGAAAGAGGGAGGGATGTTGCAAAGAAAGTGATCAGTAGTTTTAACCTGATCAATACAGGAATACTCGGCAAACTAAAAGCCAAGAAAACTGGTAATCATTGGTGTAATAAATTTCTTGCAAATGGACATGAAATCTTCACCTTCAAGCTGCCTGTACTCAGGGGCTGCTATATCTGCAGAAAATGTAGTGAATTCTATTGTAATGAGCATTGTTGATTGCTAAATTTATATCTAAGATTGGGTCCTGAGGTGCAATGACTTTAGCTGTAACTGTGTGGTTAACATCTTCTGTCTTTGTGCATAATGTCAGAAATGCATTAGTTGTAACCTTTACAGTTGGTTGAAAGTGTCTTTTGGGTAATAGCTTTTTTGTGTAGAGATGTCAGTTAGTTGGGGAAAGCAGTTGGGGGCGGCATGGTGGCTCAGTGGTTAGTACTGCTGCCTCCCAGTACCAGGGTCCCAGGTTGGATTCCATCCTCGGCGACTGTCTGTGTGAAGTTTGCACATTCTCCCTGTGTCTGCGTGGGTTTCCACTGGGTACTTTGGTTTCTTCCCACAGTCTAAAGATGTGCAGTTTAGGTGGATTGGCCATGTAAAATGCCCATGTAGGCTAGGTGGGTTAGCAGGGATAAGGTAGGGGGATGGATCTGGTGGGGATGGTCTTTGGAGGGTCAGTGTGGGCGTGATGGGCCAAGTGGCTTGCTTCCACACTGTAGGGTTTTATGATTCACTTGTTGCTTACGCGTGCCACTGTGATGTTTAGGAAATTAATGCTTTCCTTGTTGTCATTTTAAATTTAATGAAAGTTTTTGGAAATTGAGCATGTTGATGAATTCTACTTGAGAGTTTGGATACCACACATCACATACAGAAGAGCGTATTTGATATTGAGCATTTTCAAGGCAAATTCCTCCTTGCCTTTTTTTAACAACCGTGGGAGCAATGCAATTAAGGACAAGCCCTACTAGTATACCAATTACACCACTAGTGTAAATGTGTTGATTCAGTTACCATCAAAAATAAGACTTTTCACCAGGCTTCCTTTTTTAATGAACTAAAATTAACTCCTTTATTATGAGCAAAACTTGATTCTTAAAGCAAGTGGCAAACTCCAATTAATTGTGGATGATTGCTTGGTGCTGAAATTATTATATCCCCTTAAACCTGAAAAAGGATACAGTCTCAATGCAAAAAAGACAAATGTTTGCAGAGGTGTTGGTTTTCAAAGAAAAAGGTTGAAGGTGAAAACAGCTCTTCAAGACTAGGGGTCTGGAAACAATGGCTGAAATTTGCTGAACTTCCTGTCAATGAAGCTGAATGACTGACAGCTGTAGATTGATGGAAGATGTCTCTTTCTGATTCTAACCGACTTGAATTTGAGTTGCTTTAAAAGTCAAGGCTAGAGGTATGGAGTGGTGCGGCTGAGAGGCGGAGTGGAATGGGCTGGATGCATGGAGCAGATTGGGGTTGGTTGTTGGACTGGGGTCCTGTGCGGGCTGTCAGTGGCTTGCGATGCCCATCAGACCACCTGTGGAAGTCCTTGTGCTGATTTACTGCAATGTAATATCTGTAATCTGTTTATCTGACTGTAATGTTTATCTTATTAACTACGTTTTATTTCTAACTTCTATGAATCACTGGAAGGTAATGCAACTTGTTTTGTTTATTTCTCTTTTTGTATTTAAGTTTTGTACCTTAGGTACATTTTTACCTAAGATTGCACTATGAGAGGCGGTATTGTAAACTTTTCACTGTACTTCTGTACTTGAGTACATGTGACAATAAAACCTAATTGTAATAAAATTTGCTGAATTGTGAAACAACTGCTGCAGAACAGAAATTCTGTATGAGGAAAACCAAGCTTGAGAATGCGGTGTCCAGTTCAGATTCCAAACAACTTAAATTTGAGTCTGAAAATTGGTTACAGTCCCCTACTTCAGGTTTTACTAGAAAGACAGAAATACCAGTATTTGGAAACTCTAAATTTCCAGAAACTTCTGAGGTGGGGGGCACAGGGAGTGTCATGCAGCTCATTGGGTGTCTGCTTTACTTTGACTTCTGGTTCTGTAGCACTGAACTCTATGTCTAGAGTGGGTAACTGGGCAACCATTAGCATAGGAACCCCTCATTCTCTCAAAGCCAGATTTTCAGTAATTTAGGCAATAAACCCAATCTCTTGTGTCCTTTTAAGATCTTTGATTTGCTGTGTCTCAAGTCATTTTTTCCTATGAAAACAAGGTGGCTGACAACACAATATCAAAAAAAGGTTCTGAAGTGGTATCTTTGGATTAAACATTAACTCTGTTTTTCTTTATATAGATGCTGTCAAACCTGCTGTGTCTCTTGAGCATTTTGTTGTTAGACTGTTGACTTCATTTTCTAAGAAGTGACATGGTAAAACTTTTCTCAAGAGAATGTTTAAATAGACCCAAATCTTCCATTATTTCCCAGATAGTCATCAAGTACAAATATGTATTCATAAAGCCACCCTGAACCTGTTTTTCTTGAACACTGGCTTTCTTCACTGCAGCAGTTATTTGACAATCTCGCAGACTTCAGCTTGATAGCTTTCTGCTTTATTTTGTTTTGCTCGAGGACCCTTTTTGTTTTTTGCTGATCACTTTCTATGCTACATGCAGTTTGCTCTGTTAGGATCCAGAAGGAAAAACTGTAAACCAAAAGAACCAAGTTGACTGACCTCCAAATAAGGAGATTGTAAATTGGATTTTTTTTTTTTGCAATTTTAATATAAATCAGATTTTTATCTGTGTGTTTCACTTTTATTGGTCAATACAACGAAAGGACATTTGTACAAATACAGTCCCTGCACCACACCTGGACAAACATGGCACTATGTAGCTACAGTGACG